GTTATACTGTTAGAAAGGTGAGTATATGACATGCATGCCTTAAGTGCTCCGGGCGGTCAGCAATCAATGCTGTTTAATATCAGGATGTTTTCCGATCAATGATGCCAGCGGCCTCGGAATCGAAGAACTCCAGCCTCCCGGCAGACAACTGTCGACAGTCAACCACAAGACATCGCTATCTAAGCGAAGAACTTCAGCCTCCCGGCAGACAACTGTCGACAGTCAACCACAAGACATCGCTATCTAAGCGAAGGCAAACAAACGGTGTTATGACTGGTTCCAGTTCCACCACAACCACCCTTTTTCACGTTACCAGGTATGTAATACCACGTAGTTCAGTAGTCGAAGCGTTCCAGATCCCACATCAACTGCAGGAGATTTGCGGCCGGGGATAGGGCCTCGCAACGCAACAATGCCCCCAGACCTTAGTAAGTTGCAGTACGCTGATGATGATCGAGCGAATTACCCACTACACACATCCCAAGGCGGAGACAGCTTTCAGAGCAACCACTGCATGCGTCCAGTTTGTCGACGCCTTGCAGGACGTCAATGTGCAGATAGCTGCGAGGCAAGCAAGGTCCGTTGATGTACAACATGCGCTTGCCGCTGCCTTAGAATAGGAATTCATCAGGCGCGCAGCGAACCAGGCGAGTTGTGGTACGATCTCCGAACACGGGTGCCGCAGTCGGCAGAGCTAGGTGGGACCGGCGTTTGTAAGCTCGCGAGAGGGTTTCGCGAACGCACGGAGTCCTCCATTTAATCGGCACTCTCGTTCATCCTCAACAATAAAACCATGTCATGAGGTATGCAATTCTTTGTTCGCCCATTGATTGTGAATTATGCCGTTAAAGCGTGTCATACTCTTGTTCGGGGCACACAGAGAGGCTCCCATTGATGTGGATACCCGTTGAAGAGCTGAGCGACTTTGTGCTTAACACTTCACCGAAGTAGACACCTATCAAAAATTGGAAAGAGACTCACATTGTGGTATCATTCAACGAACCGATTACCTCGTTGGGGATTATTTTTTCATGATAGTACATTGGGGGGGGGGGGGTTCAACCAATAAGTCGCAGCCAACCAATGACCCGTAAGCCATTTTCCAGCAACAGAGTTGTTGGCACAAAAAAGTGAATGGCATGTCGCAAAAACTTACAAACAAAACCACTAAAAGAAGTCATATCCACAAAAGTTGGCACTCCCCACGGCATCCGCGGTCATGACCATACTTTCAGGATCACCCTATCGTCTTTCCTTGGCAATGAAGTATTTTTTATTGGCCCTTACAAGTGAAGTTGCGCCCGAGCCACAAATACACGAGCTGGTACACATTCCCAGCAACATTGTGGAGTGGCACAACTCGGGGCATCCCGACATCCACTATGAGGTAACTTGCGATTGTTAACGTTGTGTTTATTTGTGGCCGCATCCACACCATGCCCATTCGATGTACGCCATCACGACGGCCCCATTTCACGCTCAACATGTTAGTTCGAGTTCCCACTTCACCCTCAATGGGTCAGTTTGGTGCGTAAGCAACTCTATCCACTCGAACCGACGTTATCACCCTATAAATGTTACTCGCGTCCTTTTCTGTATTGATGCCGTATTATAACAAACACCAAAACTGTCCCACCTGCCTAAGTTACTGGGGCTTACACCCTACAGCCCCCGATGGTGTTACGCCCACGTCGGTCACTAGGCACGTACTCGAACTCACGAGGAATACAAATGATAACATCCCCAGAGATACGGAACATATTACCTCCCAACACCTTCTAAATCTCCTTCCAGTCTCCGAAGCCAAACCCGCTTGAAGCCTCGATAAAGCACTCACGACGCCGTAGAAAAAGCGCGGGAAAGGCGACGCGCGCTTCGGATCGTCCCGCGGACAAAGATGGCGCGCCGGCCGGGCGGGAAGCGGCGGCACCGGCTGTTGCGCCCCGACAGCTGGCGCCGCCGCGCCGGCAGCTGGTGGTGACGGGCAGCAGCTGCGCAGGAGGGGGCGGGGAGTGGGGGGGGGGGAGAGCGATGCCGGCCCCCAGCGGCCCCGCAGCGCCAGCTCACCCGCCCGCACCGACAGTCTCGAGCGCCGACCGCCGGCAGTCGTAGCCGCCATATGCGGTAGCCGTTTTGCTGCTTAGAGTGCGACAGCGCTTACACACTCATGCACACCAAACATTGGATTACTTTGTCAGCAGTGCGCACAAGATACATCACCCGTCAGGGCTCATTGGCAGTTGATATAATTCTTGTCGAGCTGAAATTGAACCAATCGTTAAAATCTCTTCGTGTGTGTTCAGCGCCAGTTGCTCACGTATAGATGGGCATTGATCGGCTTTGTTAGCCTAAGCAGATGTAAAGCGCGGAAAGTGTGAGGATTTTCTTTCCGGGACTGGTGTGCATCTGAGCCGTCGCCAGACTTGTCACCAATGTGTCAAGGGCTTAAACATCAGTATATAAGTTAACGAACCGGAGTTTCAAAGACCTCAAAATTTTCAGCAGCACTTGTAGCCCCATCATGAGAAGCACTTAGTAGCAGCATCTTCCGCTGTTCAAGGATTGCAAAAAATATTCATCCCATCTACATAGTCCCTTGGTATCATGCATTTGGCGCATGGTTTGCCCACGATCAAGTCCACAGGCATTGTGCTGCTTGACTTCACAGAATACCATACGGTGTTCGACTGATCCCTCTCGTTGAAATATCCGTCAGACACACTTTTCATGTCAGGAGAATTCTTGCTACGATTTCATCCGTTAAATGTTTCAACGGGATCGCCCCAAAACCACCCCGTCGACAACGCAGCGCCCCAATCCCCGATGCCTTTCCCGAGCGTTACCCAGTGTTCACTCGCCGCGCGCCGGCTGCGGTCGGCCGCGCCCAGCTGTCGCTGGGCCGCCGGCTGCCGGGGCCGGGGCCGGGGCCGGCCAGACTCGCCGCACCATACACGACGTCTGGCCGCCGCCGCCGCCACGGCAGCAGCGGCGACGCCGCCCTGGCCCGCCACTGGTTGCCCGAGCGGCCACCGGTACGCCCGTCGCCAGGGTGTCGCAAGCGCTGTGCGTGCGCCGCAAGGATTGTCTGGCTGATCAGACGACCAAGCCGTACACGGCTATCTGGTCTCAAGTTACTGCTCGGCACGGAGGACATCCGGCATATGTCAGGACGTGAGACGGGCTACTGAGGCCTTGACCGTCGACCATGTATTAGACCTGACCAAAGGCAGTAATTTTTAACAGCGCTGTCCGGGACGTTAGCGGTGTCGCCTCGCGATAGACGCAAAGCGATTCCGCCGTCGCTCAGCCGCGGTTCAATTTATCATCGGCAGGGAGCTGTGTCGTCCTCAGGAAAGCACCAGACCAGTATAAAACGCTGATGCGCACATCGATCACTGCTACCAGAAGCCCAAAACCCTCACCTCGGGCAATTTGCAAAAGGTGACTTATTGGAAGCCAGGTCAGGACATTGCAATACGCTAAGCCACCGTTCTTTTTCTCTTGCGAGTACGCTCACCTCATTAAATTTTATGGGTCTGTATGAACATTACAGCAGCCTAATTGTCCGCAAATATATCCAAAGATACCGCTGACAGTGTGTTTTGCGTGTCGGCCGGTTCAGCGGCTGGGCGGCGGGCCCGGGCGCTGCTGCTGGCGGCACCGCTGGACGGCACGAGTGTCTGGCGGCAGGAGGTACCGGCGGGCGCCAGCGGGCGGGCGAACGCTCGCCAGCACACTCACAGCACACATCACACACACCCAAATAAACACACACGCGCACGCACACACACATACACACACGCGCACGCGCGCGCACAGACACAGAGGCGAGGCAGCAGTGTTGATGGTATTCTCGTACGGAACGGCGCCGCCTCATCTACCGGGTGAGAACGGACGGCACCGGACCGGCCTATGGGTCCCACCGGCGCCGATGTGTCGGCCCAGCCACCCGGCGGCGGACCGGGCGGCCTCGATCCGCCAGACGGCGCGCGGCCGCGCCTCCAGGAGGGACCACCAGCCGAGAGAAGCGACCGCGCGAGCAGAGCCGGCTGATCCCACCCCCGACCAGCGACAATACGGCAACCCTGGAGCGACCTAGCCACCCAGCGGAGATCGTCCCTTGACTAAGCAATTTGAGGTAGGGGAGTGGCTTAATTTCACGCGAGGCAAGCACTCAGTTAACAGCAAGGATAGAACGGTGAGCAACAATGCATCGTTTATCAGCGAACATCGCGCAACTACTGTAGTCTTACTGCACCGTCACACCGTTGTTACCGTTACGTTACCTACAACGGTTACCGTTACGTTACGAGCTGGTGCACGCCGAGTCACAGAGGCAGTACGAGAATACCAACAACAATCGCTAAATAACACAGAAAGGCTATCAGGTGTTGCCCTATCCACCCACACCCGTCCCCGGGGCTAAGCGCACATGACGACTCTGAACATCCGTCGCAGTCCAGCTTGCTTGGACAGGAAAAGAGGAAAGCACATGATGTGCCTGACAAAGAAGTCTGAACAATGAAGCCACAGACCAAGAAATAGGCTTAATAACACAAACACAGTACATGCCTGCAATCCATACACTTCATATCCCGGAAACTCTGGCTTTTGTTCTGAGTGATGAGATACAGGCAGACCAAATTTTGAAACTGAGTATCATCTTTCATCAAATTTCAGAAGGCTATCTGACTGGCAGTTGCTTGGTCATCCAGGTCAACCTTATCTTGCCTCCAAAGGCTTCCAGATTTGTTTCACTTTCAGCAGTTCCTGTTAGTGGTTTGGGAAGGGATCACTCCCTGAAAGGCAGAACCCATACATCAGAGGAAGTATGGCTCTGTTGACCATCCCATGCTGAGACTCTCTTGCATCTTATGCAAGTTTGCTGCAAGCCTCCATCCAGCCCAGGAATGACATGGTACAATTTGGCAGAAAGAAAGCAATAATTTCCAAATCACCCAGGGCAACACCTGATAGTTAAAGCTTGTAAATGGACTAACCTTGTGAGGCTCCATCTTCTGATGTTCCGGCTGTCAGCATCTCACCACCACCTGCAGGAGAAACAGCGATGAACATACTGACCATGGTTCACACCTGCAATCAGCAGGTGAGATAACAAACCTTGGGTATGGATGAAAACTAATGACTTATATGCAGCTGGAATGAGAGACCAACCACACAAACCTGCTTATATCCATGATCAGCTTGTCAGTCTGAACTTTGACTGGATGTTTGCACTCAGTAACAACTTGTGTTATGTAGCTCCAATCCCAATGTGACATGACGCGACAGCCCAGTTCTTGAGCACAGAGGCATGCATACCTTGCTCTGATACCCTGCTGAGCAGGCCCGCCATGTCGTTTGAGCTTGCTGAGTGGTCTGACCCGTCGAACTGAGACGCCTCGAACGTCGACACCTGGCCCAGCGTGGCCTCTAAGCTCTCGTCATCGTCGTCGTCGGCAATGTCTATTTTCTCCACTTTGATGAAGTCATCACGGGCGGGCGGCTGGTGCTCTCGGTGTGGCGTCGGCGACTCGGCCGGGTCCGCGGCGGAGGTGGCCGGCCGCGGCGGTGGCAGCGGCGCCGCTGCCGCCGGCAGCACCACCCCGTCCCCGGCCGGCTCCTGCGGCGGCGTCACCATGGGCGGCGGCGGTGGCGGTGGCGGAGGGGGGGGAGGGGGCGGGGGTGCCACCGGCGCTGTGTGCACCGCCACTGGCGAGTCGGGTCGGCTGCCTGTCGACCCGGAGAGGCGGCGCCGCTTGTGTCGGGGCGAGGCTGGCGCATCGGGCGGCTCGCGCGGCCGCGGCCGGCCGGCCGGTGCAGCGGGCAGCGGCGGTCCTGCAGCCAGACGAGGCCGCTCCGTCGCATGGGACGCCGCAACTGGCTGAGATCGGGGCACCTGCCAAACATGTGGCAGCCATCAGTGAGCACAGATCATGTGTGATCAATGGGTGCTACTCAGTTTAGGCTGAAAACAACAGTTTTGGTTGTGCACAGATGCTGAACAAAATATAGACCTAGGTCCCTGGCTTGTTGATTGGAGATTTAGGGCACACCAACTACCTTAGTCATTTTGTGCCCTAGGTCCCTGGCTTGCACTTCAGGCAAAAATGTGGTTACATTGAGTCATTAGGGTTTATGATGTACTAAGCAGCCCAGACTGAGCCAGCAGCAGACATGCAGCATAACTGTTGCACTGCTAGCATTCCTCTGTGTGTTAAAAATACTTATTAATAGGTCCTTTTAGCACCATAACCAATCTGCAGTACCAGAATAACTGCAAAACAATTGGCACCCACCTGCTCATCATCATCATCTCCTGAGAGGCCTTTGACTTGGAGCATCTCTGCAGTCTTCAGGAAGCTGCCCAACTGACTCTGGAGGACATTTACTTCACCCTTGTAGACAAACTCAATGACTGCTGCAATGTCCACATATGATGTGTCCTTGAGGAAGAAAAGTGGATGCTGGCATGGATTGTCCTGTGGGGAAGCCATGACTTGTTAATTATTCACTATTTTTACCACTCAATCCAGTCCATCATATTGAGTATTTACCCCATTGCCCATTTGTTAAAGTTGAATCAAAAGTCATAGAATCCATACTAACCTTGCTATAACAGGGCAATGCTGAAAAGTAGTTCCTGGAGATTTACACAGGAGGTGCATAAGCATGTTATGCCAATAAATAGCAGTTCAACCATCTGAACAGCACTCACCTTGAACAGATCCCTGAAGTATGGACTGCATGCAGATAGCATCATTCTATGTGCCTTTATCTTCTTGCCCTCACAACACAATGTAATGTCCACCAGCTCCTCATCTTGACGAAGGTTGTCAAAAACTGATGTAACACTATTTTGGAAGTTATTCCATTTAAGGCAAAACTTCTGAGATGCAGCCATGCTTATCTGAAACAAGTACACATCTTCATGCACATGAATGTTGCTGGTATCCTCATATTCTCCACATCCAGACATCACCACCCACTTTTCTGCCAAAAGGTGGGCAAATTGCCCTGAAGTCTGAGCCACCTGGGTGGGAGTCAGTGCCCACATAAAAGGTGCTTTCCCTAAGCTAGTATATGTGCTGCTAACACAGCCCTTATGTAAAATATGTATGGACAATCAAACTGCAATCACATGCATAATGTGATCTTTAACACACAAAGCAAAGGAGACAATCAGCCAGGCAAGGTGCATGCATTGCACACCAAAACCTGCAAAATGACACCAAATGGCTTGTCCTACCAAGTAACTGACAGTTACACAATCTTAATGATAACTATGCATTTTTCTTTTGTTACAGACAAACAAAAAAGATAGAACTGGACAGACTGGGCAAGCTAGGCAAGAAAGGACAAGTTTTAACCATAAGCACAGTTCAGCCTGGCCTGAGCTTAGCACACACCAGCAAGAGGTTCAACAAGAAGTGGGGACAGCTACCCCTTATGCCCTGAACTCCAGGTAATGTTTAATACTAGTCCCATGGTCATGCATGGAAAGAGACAAGGCAAAACTCATGGCTGCCCCCATCTGATCTCCAGAGGTTATGCTGACACTGCTCTTGGCCCACCCAAGACCATACCAGCCCTCCAATGACACGACAGTTACATCGCATTCAGCAACCAGAAGACGACCGGAACGACCGTCAGGACTTGTTAGTCCCCTGCCAGCTCAGACATTTGAATGCTAAAATCCACCGACCGCAGCGTCATTGCATGCGAATGTAACTGCTGCAAACCTGGGCTGACATGAAATCCGTGCCAGCATAACAGGCGAGACGTGCAAGACACCTATGCAAAAACACCCACCACGAGAGCGCAACGCCCCAGCTACAAGATCCTCCACGAGCGCGGCCACGGCGACCAACTGCACAGCACCACTCAGACAAAATGGCGCACGGATTCATACTTCGAGCAGATGGCGTTGTGATCAAGTAGCACCGCAATCCCAGAGAATGTACGACTAAATTCCCCTCAGGGTGAATTCAGAGTTCTTCGACTGAGCTATACACCTTTGTATACCAGGAGCCAGGAACAGCACAGACGGGTGTCGGCATAGTAAGCAAAAATATACTTTTGCCCAAATTTATTTTGGGTGGCCGTTTTTCGTAAGCTAAAGCATGGTAGCTACCGTTCAGATAGCGATTTAGTGTGGCCCTAGATGGGCAGGTTTTTATAGCAGTGCAGCCATTAGCGCAGGTAGGGGGCACAGGGGTTATGTCCCTGTCCTTAGGTTACGAGCCGTAAGTCCCAAGGGGCCATTCGGGCTACGATTACGGCCCGATTGGAGGGCCCGAAGGGACCGAAAGACCAACCGGAGGTCGCATTCAGGGGTCCCGGACCGCATTACCGGGCCCTTCAATGCCAGCCAGAGGGTCTTGTGCAATAGTCAGGGACCCTCGGAGTCGATAAGGGCCTATTTATCGGTCAGACACTACCAGTAACGCCGCGTGGCGGCGTGGACTTGAGAGGCTACTTCCCAAGCAGGAACAAAGACAGAGTCAGCAATTCACATAGGTTGAGGCCTCATCGTCTGTCAGAGCAACACAGTGCCTAACGGTGACCCTGTTTTGACAAGGTGCCCCAATTCGGACAGATGCAATATTCAAGGAGTCCTGGAGAGCCTGGAGGGCCGACCGGGTCCGACGATCAATGGCCCAATTGGAGGGTCTAAGGGCACGAAGGGCTGGTCGGATTCTTATTCAGGGTGCCCGGTCTGAGGGAACGGATCCTCAAATGGCAGTCAGAGGGCCCTTTGCACTGATTGGGGACCCCCTGAGTTGACATGGGCCTATATGTTGGTCGGGGACCGTCAATACCGCACAGTCGGCTCCGTGTCGATATGGGCCTGAGGATCCACTTCCCAATCAGGTTCAAAGCTGGGGCCACTGATTTACACTGGTCGAGGCACCTGTATCTTTCAGGGGCCCACAGCGCCTCACGGAGGGTCATGTGCTCGCAAGGGGTCCCGAGCCGACCAATGGCAGTGTTCGATGGGACTCCAAGAGGGGTCCGGGTGCCCCACTGGCACTGACGAACAAATGCCCAGTCGGAGAACATAGAGACGCTAATGACTGGCCGTAGGTCACATAAAAAATCGCGGCCCGTAGGGTCGTGGCCTGAAATATCAGTCAAACATCCTCTTGCATCGTTTAAGGATACCATGAGAAAATGCGGGCGTCTTAGTTGGTCAGTGGCCGCTAACACGGAAAAGGTCAATTCCTGTGACTATGGGCTTCCATTTCTCCAGCATATGCGTGGCCGATGGCCACGAATTGCATTGGTCTGGGTCCCCGAGACAATGGAGAGTCCCCTGTGTCGGTCAGGGACCGCAGTATCCAACAGGAGGTGATGTGTCGTCTAGTGGCCCCTACTCGGTCACAGGCTTTGTTTGGGGAGGTCCGAGGAGGGACCGAAGTGTCCTCGGGACCAACGATCTTTTGGAGCTCAACTGAACTCGGGCCCGGCCCCCCACCCGTCATGCCGTGACCTGGAATTTTAGTAACGGCCAACTAGGGGCCTGGGGACTGATTTTCGTCAGCGTATGATCTCAAACAGTACGGAGCCGCCTGATGCCGAGCTGTGTCGGGCGCGTATTGGTGCTCGTTCACCCTCATCTTTTTGGCGGGCTGGCCGACACGCACCCTTCCTCGACCAAGCATGAAGGTTGAGGTCCGACCGGCGACGCTGGTAGGCTGGGAGCCAATCCCAGTGCCGTTCCGCCGCCCGCCGCGGAACGCACCGGAATCGTGGAGCGTCGATAACTTGCCTGCGCGACGATTCCATTGGGACCCTCAGAAATTATTACCATTCTCGTGCATATGCAAACTCTGGATTTCTTAATTTTGCGTTTTTACTGGGCCAGTCACCTTTATGACCTTGATCGCGCGTTCAGGATTCCAGAATTCCCAAGCCATTTTCCGAGGCTAGACGGCACCGATGCCCTTTAATCACGTTCTACAACAGCCGTGATCACGGCCCTCACGCACGACCCTTCTTACTATCGCGCTCGCGATTTCGAAGCCCGGAAAACTGATTTTATGTCCAGGCGTCTACCGGGGTTAACCATGATGAGAGCAGCTCTGCCGAACAATTCAGCGCAGAAACGCAAATGGAAAGTGCATCGGCACTGTTGGAGGCGAAATTATTTAAGGTCATGTATTCGGAGCCACATCGCGGCGGACCACCCCACACACAACGGCGAACTGCCGCACGCAACGCCGACGGGGAGACTCTTTCTACACGCCCCGAGCAGCACCTCTTATACTCCTTTCAAGCCCACCCGCAACACGATCGGCGTGCGACTCGCCGGCACCACCGCATCCCACCCCACCGCGTCCACGGGCTAACGCATCGTCCCTGAGCCGTGTCCCTTTCCCTACGTTAACACTGTCCTGGGGCGTGATCTATAGCCACATATGGTCCACCGTTACAGGTCATGACCCGTTTGAGAGACACATCCGTAGCAAAAAATCGTATTTTTGCACGAGCTCATGGAAGCAAGTCGTCTTGCTGACATGCGGCGAAGATGAACTGTGGACTACCCAATATCTGCATGCACTCCCTAGGAGTACTTGTATGAACAACTTCGCG